TTTGCTGGACAAGGATTTGCTCTGAGGGTGAGGAGTTTGATTCTTTCATTCTTGAAATCAAACTACACAAAGCTGGTGAAATTAATTTGACAAATTTAGTAAAAGGGTCATTCTTGAATTGCCATTACTTTCCTTCCCTTGCTTGGACTTTTCTATGCTCTGAGGGTCTTTCTTTGATTCTTTCATTCTTGAAATCAAATTACACAAAGCTTATGAAATAATTTTTCAAATTTAGTTTTTTTCTTTTTTCTTTCTTTCCCTTTTCTGGATTTTCTTTCCTTTCTTTTTGATTCTTTCATTCTTATCATTCATTCACTTGATCTTGAAATATTTGACAAATTTCATTAAATTCTTTTCATTCTTGAGTTTTTTTTTTTCTTACATTTTTTCTTTTTCTATCTTTCTTGCCTTTGATTGTTTCTCTTTTCATTCTATCATTCATTCTTTCCTTCCTTTCTGGACAAGGATAAATTCTTTCAGGGTGAGGAGTTTTTTCTTTCATTCTTCTTTCTTTCTTTTTATCTTTGGTGAAATAATTTGACAAATTTCTAAAATTCATTCCTTGATTTTTTCCATTGTTTCCTTCCTTTCATGGACAAGGATAAATGCTTTGAGGGTGAGGAGTTTGATTCTTTCATTCTTCTTTCTTTTTCAAACTACACTCTTTCATGAAATAATTTCACAAATTTTCTAAAAATGGTTGTGTGATTCTTTCATTACTTTTTCCTTCCCTTTTTTGGACAAGGATAAATTTTCTAGGGTGAGGAGTCTTTCTTTCATTCTTGAAATCAAACTATCACAAATTCCTGGTGAAATAATTTGACAAATTTCATAAAAGGGTTGTTGAGTTTGCCATTTTTTTTCCTTCCCTGTGCTGGACAAGGATAAATTCTTCTTTTTTCTGGAGTTTCTTTCATTCATTCTTTCTTTGATCTTTCTATGTCTCTCATTCTTTCATTCTTTGTTTTTTTTTTTCTGGTTTAATTTGACAAATTTTTAAATCTTTTGTCTTTTTGCCATTCTCTTTCATTCCCTATCATTCAAGGATAAATGCTCTGAGGGTGAGAGTTTGATTCTTTCATTCTTGAGTTTTTCAAACTACACTTTTTCTTTGAAATAATTTTTCAAATTTAGTTCTTTCTTTCAAGGTATCATTACTTTCCTTCCCTTTCTATGACAAGGATCTTTCATTCTTGAGGGTTTCTTTTTTTGATTCTTTCATTCTTGAAATCATTCTTCTTTCACACATTTTCTGGTGAAATAATTATCATTCATTAAAATCTTTGTGTTGAAGGTGCCATTATTTTCATTCCTTGCTGGACAAGGATTTTGCTCTTTGAGGAGTTTGATTCTTTCATTCTTGTTTTCTTTCATTCTTCTATTGAAATAATTTGACAAATTTAGTATGTCTCTCATTGTTTCATTCTTGAGTTTTTTCTTTCCTTCCTGTGCTGGACAAGGATTTCTGAGGGTGAGGAGTTTGATTTTTCATATAAATTCTTGCCTTTCTTTTCTCTTTTTCTATCATTCATTCTTGATCTCAAACTTCTCAAATTCTTAATTTGACAAATTCTTTTTTCTTTTCACCTTTTCCATCTTTTCTTGCTTTTTCTTTTTTTCTTTCATTAAATCATTGAGGGTGAGGGTTTGATTCTTTCATTCTGAAATCAAACTACACTTTCTGGTGAAATAATTTTTCAAATTTAGTAAAAAAGGGTTTTGAAGGTGCCATTCTTTCCTTGTGCTGGACAAGGATAAATGCTCTGAGGGTGAGGAGTTTGATCTTTCATTCTTGAATTCAAACTTCACAAAGCTTTTGAAATAATTTGACAAATTTTCTAAAAGGGTTGTGTGAAGGTGCCATTCTTTCCTTCTGTTCTGGACAAGGATAAATCTTTCTGAGGGTGAGGAGTTTGATTCTTTCATTCTTGAAATCAAACTACAAATTTAGTACCTTTTCTATAATTTCCATCTTTTCTTTTTGTTTGAACAAGGATCTTTCATTCCTTGATCTTTCTATGTCTTTCATCATTCTTTCATTCTTGAGTGAGGAGTTTTTCTTTTTCTTTTCTTTCACCTTTGAAATAATTCTTTCTTTTCTTTCTGTTTTGAAGGTGCCATTATCTTTCCTTCCTTGTGCTGGACATGGATAAATTCTTTCATTCTTGAGTTTTTTTTCTTTCATTTTGAAATCAAACTAGACAAAGCTTGTGAAATAATTTCTCAAATTTCTAAAATTCATTCCTTGATCTTTCTATTTCTTTTTCCTTCCTTCTTTGGACTTCTTTTTTAAATGCTTTTCTTTGAGGAGTTTGATTCTTTCATTCTTGAAATTTTCTGTTTTCACACAAAGCTTGAAATAATTTGACAATTTTAGTAAAAGGGTTATGTCTCTCATTCTTTCCATTCTTGTGTTTGGACAAGGATTTCTCTTTGACCTTTTTTGATTCTTCATTCTTTTTTTTTTTCTTTCATTCTATCATTAATTCATTTGATCAATGTCTTTTTATTCTTTTTCAAAAGTTAAATTTTTTTTCTTTTTTCTCTTTCACCTTTTCTATCTTTTTGCCTTTCTGTTTGCTTTTTCATTCTATTTCCATTCCTTTTGCTGGACAAGGATAAATGCTTTCATTCTTCTTTTTTTTTTTTTTTCATTTTCACCTTTTCAAACTTTACACAAAGCTTTGAAATAATTTGACAAATTTAGTAAAAGGGTTGTTTGATCTTTCCATTTCTTTCCTTCCCTTTCTGGACAAGGATAAATGCTCTTTTTCTCTTTTTGATTCTTTCATTCTTGAAATCAAACTACACTTTTTTGGTCTCTTTAATTTGACAAATTCATTAAAAGGGTTGTGTGAAGGTGCCATTACATTTGAGTTTTTTTTTTTTGCTGGACAGGATAAATATCTTTGAGGGTGAGGAGTTTGATTCTTTCATTCTTGAAATCAAACTAGACAAAGCTGGTGAAATAATTTGACAAATTTAGTAAAAGGGTTGTGTGTTTTACTTTTCCTTCCCTGTTGGACAAGGATAAATGCTCTGAGGGTTTGATTCTTTCATTTTGATTTCTTTTTTCTTTTCTCTTTCTCATTCATTCAAAGCTTGAAATAATTTTCAAATTCTCTAATTCTTTCATTGAAGGTGCCATTTCTTTTTTCTCTTTGCACCTTTTCAATCTTTCTTGCTCTTGAGGAGTTTGATTCTTTCATTCTTGAATTCAAACTACACAAATCTTTCTATGAAATAATTTGACAAATTTTCTAAAAGTTTTGTGTTTTTCTTGCCTTTACTTTTCCTTCTTTCATTCTGGACAAGGATAAATCTTTCTGAGGGTCATTCATTTTGATTCTTTCATTCTTGAAATCAAACTAGACAATTCTTCTTTTTTTTTTCAAATTTAGTAAAAGGGTTTTCTTCTTGCCATTTCTTTCCTTCCCTGTTCTGGACAAGGATAAATGCTCTTTCTATTCTTTGATTCTTTCATTCTTGAGTTCAAACTTTTTCTCTTGAAATAATTTCAAATTTTCTTGCCTTTGTGTGAAGGTGCCATTCTTTCTTTCCTTTGCTGGATTTTAAATGCTCTCTCATTCTTTCATTCTTGAGTTTTTTCTTTCATTCTTCTTTCTTTTTTCTATTTCTTTCTTGAGGGTTTTTTTTTTTTCTTTAATTTGACAAAGCTTTCATTAATTTGACAAATTTTTCTAATTTCTCTCATTCTTTCATTCCTGTGCTGGACAAGGATAAATGCTCTTTTCTTTTGAGGAGTTTGATTCTTTCATTCTTGAAATCAAACTAGACTTTCATGAAATAATTTGACAAATTTTTAAAAGGGTTGTTTCATTCTTGAGTTTTTTTTCCTTCCTGTGCTGGACAAGGATAAATGCTCTGAGGGTGAGGAGTTTGATTCTTTCATTCTTTCTTTCAAACTAGACAAATCTGGTGAAATAATTTGACAAATTTAGTAAAAGGGTTTGATTTTGCCATTCTTTCCTTCCTTTTCTGGACAAGGATAAATTTTTCTTTTTCTCTTTCATTTGATCTTTCATTCTTTGAAATCAAACTAGACAAAGCTGGTGAAATAATTTCATTCTTAAAGGGTTGTTTTTTTCTTTTTTTCTAAAACCTTTTCTATCTTTCTTTCTTTCATTCTTTCTTCTTTCATTCTATCATTCATTATTTGACAAATTTTAAAAGGGTTGTCTGAATTCTTTCATTCTTGAGTTTTTCTTTTTTTAAATGCTTTGGTGAGGAGTTAAATTTTTCATTCTTGAAATTTCTGTTTTTCTTTCAAATAATTTTCATTCCTTGAATCTTTCTTTGTCTCTCATTCTTTCATTCTTGAGTTTTTCTTTTTTTGATTCTTTCTTTCTTTTCTACCATTCAAACTTGTCTTTCTGTTTAATTTCATTCAAATTTTAGTAAATTCTTTTTCTATGTCTCTCATTCTTTCCTTTCTTGTGTTTGGACAAGGATTCTCTTTCACCTTTGAGGAGTTTTCTTCTTTCTTTTTCTCTTTCATTCTATCATTCATTCCTTGATGAAATAATTTCTCAAATTTCATTCTTGAGTTTTTTTTTTTTTTCTTTCACCTTTTCTATTTTCTTGCCTTGCCTTCCCTGTTTCTCTTTCATGGACAAGGATAAATGCTCTGATCTTTCTATGTCTTTGATTCTTTCATTCTTGAATCAAACTTTTTTTCTGGTGAAATAATTTGACAAATTTCTTGCTTTCTGTTTTCCATTCTTTCATCCCTATCTGGACAAGGATAAATCTTCTTAGGGTGAGGGTTTGATTCTTTCATTCTTGAGTTTTTTTTTTCTGGTGAAATAATTTTTCTAATTTTCTAAAAGGGTTGTTTAAGGTTTCATTCTATTTTCCTTCCTTGATCTGGACATGGATAAATTCTCTTTCATTCTTGAGTTTTTCTTTCATTCTTTTTCAAACTTTTCAATCTTTCTTGCCTTTAATTTGACTCTTTCATTCTAAAATTCCTTGTTTGAATGTGCCATTCTTTTCATTCTTGTGCTGGACAAGGATTTCTTGCTCTTTTCTATCTTTTCTTGCTTTTCTTTCATTCTTTCTTTCATTCTATCATTCATTCCTTGATCTTTCTATTTCTCTCATTCTTTTCATTCTTGAGTTTTCTTTTTTTTTAATTTCAAATTTTCTACCATTCTTGCCTTTCTGTTTCCCTTTCTGGACAAGGATTCATTCTTGATCTTGAGGAGTTTGATTCTTTCATTCTTGAGTTCAAACTAGACAAAGCTTCAAATTTTTTGACAAATTGCCTTTCTGTTTCTTTTGAATTCTATCACTTTTCATTCTTCCTCTTGCTGGACAAGGATTTTTCATTCTTGAGTTTTTCTTTTTTTTCTTTCATTCTTGAAATCAAACTTTTCTTTCTTTCTGTGAAATAATTTGACAAATTTTTATTTAAAATCTTTGTGTGAAGGTGCCATTCTTTCCTTCCCTGTGCTGGACATTCTTAAATTCTTGAGTTTTTTTTTTTTTTTCTTTCTTTCTTTCTTGAAATCTTTCTTGCTTTTTCTGGTCTTTCATTCTATCATTCATTCCTTGATTCTTTGATTGTTGCCTCATTCTTTTCATTCTGAAATCTTTTTTCTTTTCTCTTTCACCTTTTTATCTTTTTTTGCTTTTTTTTTTTTTCTCTCTTTCATTCTATCATTCATTCCTTGATCTTTCTTGAAATCTAAATTCTTTCATTCTTGACAACCTTTTCAAATCTTGAAATAATTTGACAAATTTTTTAAAAAGGGTTGTTGAATTGCCATTACTTGATCTTTCTATGTCTGGACAAGGATAAATTCTCTGAGGGTGAGGAGTTTGATTCTTTCATTCTTGAAATCTTTCTAGACAAAGCTGGTGAAATAATTCTACAAATTCATTAAAAGGGTTTTGTGATGGTGCCATTCTTTCATTCTTGACTGGACAAGGATAAATGCTCTCACCTGAGGAGTTTCTTTCTTTCATTCTTGAAATCAATTCTAGACAAATTAATTGAAATAATTTGACAAATTTAGTAAAAGGGTTCTTTGAAGGTGTTTTTTCTTTTCCTTTTGCTGGACAAGGATAAATGCTCTGAGGGTGAGGAGTTTGATTCTTTCATTCATGAAATGAACTTTCTATGTCTCTATTCTTTCATGAAATAATTTTTTTTTTTTTAAAAGGGTTTACCATTCTTGCCATTCTTTCCTTCTTTGTGCTGGACAAGGATAAATGCTCTGAGGGTGAGGAGTTTGATTCTTTCATTCTTGAGTTTTTCTTTTTTCTCTTTCACCTTTTCTATCTTTCTTGCCTTTCTGTTTCTCTTTCATTCTATCATTCATTCTTTTTGATCTTTCTATTTCTCTTTTCTTTTTCATTCTTGATTCTTTTTCTTTCTTTCTCTTTCACAATTTTCTCTTTCTTTCTTTTTTCTTTCTCTTTCATTCTATCATTTAATTCTTCTTTCTTTCTTACATTTCTCTCTCATTCTTCTTCATTCTTGACTTTTTTCTTTAATTTTCTTTCTCTTTCACTTTTTCTTTCTTTAATTCTATCTTTCTGTTTCTCTTTCATTCTATCATTAATTCCTTTATCTTTTCTATGTCTCTCTTTTCTTTCATTCTTGAGTTTTTTTCTTTCTCTTTCATTCTTTTTTCTTTCTTTCTTTTTTGCCTTTCTTTCTCTTTCATTCATCTTTCTTGATCTTTTTTATTTTTTAATTCTATCTTTCTTTCTTTACTTTTTTCTTTTTTCTTTTTTCTTTCACTTTTTCTCTATCTCTTTCTTTTCTTTTCTCTCTTGAATTTTTTTCTTTCTTTTTTTCACTTTAATTCTATCTTTCTTGCCTTTCTTTTTCTCTTCATTAATTTTAATTTTCTTTCTTTCTCATTCTTTCATTCTATCTTTTTCTTACTTTTTTTCTCTTTTTCTTTTTTCTTTCTTACTTTTTCTCATTCATTCATTCCTTGCTTCTTTTTTTTCTCTTTATTTTTTCATTCTTGAGTTTTTCTTTTCTTTCTTTTTAATTCTTCTTTCTTTCTTGCCTTTCTTTAATTCTTTTTTCTTTCTTTCATTCTCTTTTGATCTTTCTTTCTTCATTCTTTCATTCTTGAATTTTTTTTTTGCTTCTTTCACTCTTTTTCTATCTTTCTTTCTTTCTTTTCTCTCTTTAATTCTATCATTCTTCCTTGATCTTTCTATCTTTCATTCTTTCTTTCTTGAGTTTTCTTTTTTTCTCTTTCACCTTTTCTATCTTTCTTGCTTTCTTTTCTCTTCTTTTCTATCATTCTTTCTTGCTTTTCTTTTCTCTCACTTTAATTCTTTTTTTCTTTCTTTCTTTTTCTCTTTTAATTCTATTTTCTTGCCTTTCTTTTCTCTTTTTAATTCATTCTTTCTGATCTTCTATTTTTCTTCTTTCATTCTTGAGTTTTCTTTTTTCTCTTTTCACTATTTTCTTCACTTTCTTTTTCTTGCCTTTTTTTTCTTACATTTCTCTCTTTTAATTCTATCTTTCTTTTCTTACTTTTCTCATTTTAGTTTTTCTTTTTTCTTTCTTACCTTTTCTCTCTTTAATTCTTTATCTTTCTTGCTTTTTTTTTCTCTTTAATTCTATTTTTCTTTCTTACTTTTCTCTCTTTAATTCTTCTTTTCTTGCTTTTTTTCTCTTTTAATTTTTTTTTTTCTTTCTTTCTTTCTCTCTTTAATTCTATCTTTCTTGCTCTCTTTTCTCATTCTTTAATTCTTTTTATCTTTCTTACATTTTTCTCTTTTAATTCTATCTTTCTTGCTTCTTTTCTCACTTTTAATTCTATCTTTCTTTCTTACATTTCTCTCTTTAATTCTATCTTTCTTGCTTATTTTTCTCACTTTAATTCTTTTCTTTCTTTCTCTTTCTCTTTTAATTCTATCTTTTTGCTTACTTTTTTCTCTTTTAATTTTTTCATTTCTTACATATCTCTCTTTAATTCTATCTTTTTGTTTACTTTTCTCACTTTAATTCTTTTTTTTTGTTTCTTACATTTCTCTCTTTAATTCATTCTTTCTTGTTTTTCTTTTCTCACTTTAATTCTTTTTTTCTTTCTTACATATCTTTTTTTAATTCTATCTTTCTTGCCTTTTTCATTCTTTAATTCTATTTTTCTTTCTTACATTTTTCTCTTTAATTCTATCTTTCTTTCTTTTTTTTCTCTCTTTAATTCTTTTTTCTTTCTTTCTTTTCTTTTAATTCTCTTTCTTGCTTACTTTTCTCACTTTGATTTTTATCTTTTTTTTTTTCTTTTTCTATTTTTCTTGCTTACTTTTTTCTTAATTCTATCTTTCTTGCCTTTTCTTTTAATTCTTTTTTCTTTTCATATCTTGATTTTTCTATCTTTCTTTTCTTTTCTCAATTTTTTCTATCTTTCTTTCTTACATTTCTCTCTTTAATTCTATCTTTCTTGCTTACTTTTCTCACTTTAATTCTATCTTTTCTTCATTTCTCTTTTCTTCTATCTTTCTTGCTTACTTTTCTCACTTTAATTTTTTTTTTTTCTTACATTTCTCTCTTTAATTCTATCTTTCTTGCCTTACTTTTTTCTCTTTAATTCTTTTTTTTTTCTTTCTTTACATTTCTCTTCTTAATTCTATCTTTCTTTTTCTCTTTAATTTTTTCTTTCTTACATTTTTTCTTTAATTCTATCTTTCTTGCTATTTTTCACTTTAATTCTTTTTTTTCCTTTCTTTTTCTCTTTAATTCTATCTTTCTTCCTTTTTCTTACTTTTCTCCTTTTAATTCTTTTATCTTGCTTACTTTTCTCACTTTAATTCTATCTTTCTTGCTTTTTACTTTAATTTCTTTCTCTTTTTTTCTTAATTTTTTTTTCTTACTTTCTTTAATTCTTTTTTCTTTCTTACTTTTTTCTCTTTAATTCTTTTTTCTTCTTTCTTTTTTCTTTAATTCTATTTCTTTTCTTGTTTCTCTTTAATTCTATCTTTCTTGCTTACTATTCTCTCCTTAATTCTTTCTTTCTTGTTTACTTTTCACTCCCTAATTCGTTCTTTCTTTTTTCTTTCTTGTTAATTCTCTTTTTTCTTTTTTTTTCTTTTTTGTGTTCACCTTTTTCTCCTCTCTTTTTTGTTTATTTTATTCTTTCATTTTTTTCTCCTCTTTTTTTGTTTCTTTGCACTGCTTTTTTATTTTTCCGTCAGTTCTCTTTGCTTTTCTTTTCTATTCTTTCTTTCGTTCTTTCTTTCTTTCTTTTTCTTCTTTCTCTTTTTGCTTGCTTGCTCGCTTGCTTTTTTGCTTGAATTTCTCTCTCTGTTTCTTTTTTGTTAACTGTGTTTTTTTTCTCCTTTCTGTGTCGTGTACACCCTTTTCTTTTGTATTTCTGTTTATTCTACTGTCTGTGAATCTTTATAGGTTTATTCGCATACATGTCCTCTGAAAAGACAAGAATCCGCTTCTTCCCATATGGCATGTACGGACTTAGTCCCTTTTGCTTGCAGCATCTAATATTAAGAGAGGAGATGGGCGCTGCCAATGAATCCCCTTTATCTTGAGAAATTTCTGTACATGCTCGATTTTGTTATCGGGAGACGGAAAATGTGGTGCAGAAATCCGAAGTTGCACTGGAATAGCATAAGACGCCTTCCAAAAGCTAAAAAAAGTATTAAGAAACAGGAAAAATTTCGTTAGAAACATATAGTAAAGAATGCTTATTAATACAATATATGTAATAATATAATATATATGTAATAATATACAATATAAATCCTCCTATATGGTAGTGAATGCTTTACAACTTCCTAACAGATGAAGATTTGTTGATTGAAGTTTTATTTTTGCAGCTTATCCAAAATTTTGTGGATCGTTTAAAACCAAAAGACGCCATTTACTGTTAAAATAGCTAAATGCAACCACCAACTACTTCTTTTCTCGTACTTCTCGCCTTTGGGGCTCCCTTCCGTTTACTTGCTTCCCTGATAACTACAATCTTCAAAAATTTAAATGCAACGTCAGTCGCCTGCGTGCTACTGGTCCGGTTCATGATGAGGCACGGTGGAGTAATGGATAGCGACTCGGATTGAGGAATCCATTACATTCACTTATGTGCTAATACCCTCGGAAAGATATGAATCCTCTTCTTCTCCCCTCCAGCTATGGGTAAATAGCAAGACAGACCGGTTTCTATAACCTTGGATGGCAGAAAGAAATGGCAGCCTACTGCGGGAAAAAATTCTGTCTCGTCAGTCATGTATCGAAAGATACATGATCGCCTAAGCGTGTATCACGCATGACACATAACTGACTGACCCTTCGGAAAGGTATGATTCCTCTTCTTCTCCCCCCCACTCCGCGCTATGGGTAACTAGCAGGAGAGGCTGGGCTCTATAGCCTTGGATGGCAAACGGTCTAGCGCAGAAATAAATGGCAACCTGCTGTGGCAAAGAAACATCTGACTCGTCAGTCATGTATCGAAAGATACATGAACGCCTAAGCGTGTATCACGCCTGGCACATAACTGACTGACCTTCGGAAAGGTATGAATCATCTTCTTCTCCCCCCCCCCACTCCGTGCTATGGGTAACTAGCAGGAGAGGCTGGGCTCTATAGCCTTGGATGGCAAAC